AGCAGGTTACTGCTACTGATTAGATTATATTTTCTGATTGCCAAAAATAAAGATCTCTCAGAATACCCTGTCATAGTAGAACAACTACATTATATATTCTAAATAATTTACTTAAGTAAAGGCCTTGGTTTATCACATTTTCCTTGTAAAGCTTTCAAAAAATATAAGCCAGAAAATGGGCAATAATAAGCTTTTAAAAATCAATGAATGTGTGTGTGTGTACACACACACACATACACACACCCCAGCCAAAATTCAGTATTTTCAAGCCACAAAGATAAAAGGTAGAGATTAACTTATGAAAATAAAGGTAATATATTAAAAACAGGATCTTCTTTTCTAATCTCACACCCAATGTAGGAATTCCTATTAAAAGCAGCCCTAACAAATATTCAGCTGTCTCCCTCCAGTCCCCAACCCCCCACAATTTCTCCAGGGGCAAGAACTGTCTCCGGCAGCAGCATTCCTTGACTGGTCAGCTTCCTTTATAAAAGGTTCTTTATTATGTCAACCTCAAATCTGCCTCTACGTTAGTCTACCTACTGGGACTAATGTTGCTCTGTGAAAATACTCAAAACAAGCCCACTTCACTTTCCTACACTACGACTTTTTAGAAATAGAACATCCAGCATGTCTCCCATAGCCAACTTTTTTACCTATTCCTCTTCTGTCTACTTTCTAATAGCATCCTCACTCCAGAGGCTCTCTCTATTCAGTCACAGACACGGATATGTTGCTTAGACTCACTCTTGGTGTTGTTAATACATGCCCGTTCCTGTTAATACACAGAAACTTACCCCATTAAACCTAGTCCAACATTATACATTATTCTATATGATTTTTACTGATTTAAAGCTCAGAAGACATGACTAAAAGGCAATGTTTACCTGTATTTGAGCGTCTTCTAATACCAAAGTCCCAACTTGAGGTAATATCGACTGACTGGGCGTACACATAGCCCTGAGTCTCACCATTGCTTCCCTGAATTTCTGACCCACTGTCTCCAGGCATTGAAGGAGGATGAATCTTCTCTAGGTCAACATCATGATCAATGAGAACCATCTCACACATTCCTGTGTCATCACTGGTCACATGTGACTGTCGAATATGAGCTAGAATGATTGTTGGATTGTCCAAGAAGGCCATCCTTTCTGTGGGCCAGTTTCTTTAAAAGGCTATTTTCTCCTCTTCATATTGTTTCACGGGCTCACCTACCTAGAAACATGATGTACACAGCAATATTTAAGAATAAGGCAGAAAATGACTGAATCATTTTTCAAACAAATTCAACGTGGTAAAAGACTTCCTTGAAAATCAACACTTATATCTGTACATAGGAGCTTAAAAGGATGAAGTCTAAACTGAAAGGAAATCCTTATAAACCCTGGGGGCTAAAGCTATAGTCAATGAGATCTCCATGGCATCAGAGAGGATGGCTTGCTCTCTTGCAAAACAAATAATAGTAACTCCCTTAGTAAGGCGACTCAAAGCACATAACTACTGTTAAAACAATAAATTTTCCTTCCTTTCTCCCTTTATTCCATCCAGTCTTCTCATTACTTTATAAGGAGATGGAGGAACGAGTTCTTATTCCTCAGACGATGTGCTAAAGTATGAAACTGTATTTCTTCAGTTTACATCTCCCCTTCCTGTCATATGGTTGTGAATTAGCTTTAAAAGGACACAGACAATGCTTTCTGAGTTACTAGTAATTTTACAAAAATGTACTGCCAAAGTGATTTTGTTCTATAAATATATTTTCCTTTCTTCTGATTTAAGATAGTATTGTGCTTTTAAAATAAAACTTATTAATCGAACTCGTATGTTACCAGATTAATTTATTTTAGAAACCTAATTACAAGAACTGCTTCCTGAATCCTGTTAAAACTGTAATGAACAAGATGGTACCTCCTCAGTTAAATGGGAATTCAACAAAAAAATATTACAGAAGAGTGGTTAAAAACCTAAGGCCAGAGGCAAAACTGAGTTCAAATCCTGACCCATCACTTGCTAGCTATATGATCTAAATAACGTTAACGTCTCTGAGCCTGTTTTCTTTCTTCATTTATAAAATGGGGGTTGTTTCCAGGGATGAGATGATATATAAGAGCTACTGCAGGTAAAATGCTCAAAACAGTACCTGGCACATAATTAAATATTAGCTGCTATTAATAATAATGATGACGATGGTAAAACTATCAGAACCAATTTCAGCCTTCAATTCTTGTGTAAAGTAATCTTAAAATACATCAACAACTCACTCTACTTTAGTAAGTTCACAGCAAGTAAAATAAGTGTGTGCTTCCTTTTCGACAGAGGATTCTGCAGGTCACCTGGGTCACCTCTCTGCTCCTCTAAAATCATTATGAAGTGTAAAGAATGTGAAAGCTGGATTGAATATGTTCCTAGAGACAGTCTTAGAATTTAGTTTTAGAAAGACCTATAACCCCAGGTTTTCTGTCATTTGTTTCTTCTAGAAATGGAACATGAGGGAAATAAATCTAGTTAATAAACTGCTACAGTTAATTGAGGTTTTAAAATGTTTTGTCTGGTAACATAGTCTATTGACTTCACTCAGTGGGTCTTAAAGATACCACAGAAGTTTAACTGAGGCGCATCTCTAATCAAGTGAATTACATTAATTTTCATTTTTCCCCCTTAAATATATCCACTGAGTACTTTTTTTACACTGATGGTAATGGGAAATGTACAGGTGAGTAAGGCAACCCTAAATCCAAGAGTTGATACCTTGATATAGAACACATCTCTGAATACAATGGGATTCTTCTTTCAAATTTTTGAGACAGACTCAGAGTGTTAATGTCAGCCCACCATTTTAAGTGTATTAACTTAAAAAAGAGTACAGAATGAATGGGCAGCATTTAAATTTCACTTGTAAAAATAAGAACTTCTTATATAACCACGAAGAGATGTATATAAGCACAGAATTACTCATAAATGAGTTTTTTGTTTTGTAACAGCGTCAGAGATCACCCGAGCAGCAAATATCTTCGGAGCAATCACAATAAGCAACTTCCCCATAAAAATAAGGCAACTGGTTGCCAGCAGAAGAGGAGCAGGCACTTCCAACTTCATGCTGAACAGTTCTCCCCTGCAAAAACAAGGGCTTCGGTGAGAAGCCACATATTTAATGGGTGTTCTGGCACCAAATGTCAAGTAGCGAAGGGCAAAGCAACAAAAGCAGACTGAAGTACCCACGACAGCTCTTTTCAAGAAAATGGACCTGCTCCATCATCTCTTACGAAGAAAACAGTTATGGGCAAACGCTTCCAAGGGCACACACCAACTCCCTGACTTCATCCTTACAGACGGAACCCTCAAGACACCTCAACAAGAGCAGGTACCTTCTCTATCAGCACACTCGGACTTCGTACAGTGAGGAGTCTGCAGGATTCACTCAGCAAATACGTATTCCATACTAGTTCAGACAGAGAACTGTCACAGGCTGGCCTGGGAAGCGTGCGTTCCACCTCCTATGCCAAGAACTTGAGGGTTCAGAATGCAAGTCCCACAGGACCGGGCTCAAACACCACGCCCCTCCGGCAACAAAGGATCACACACATGGCAGGAATTTAGTATATGTTGCCATCTGACTTACAACTCTGTAGTAGAGATTAGACACATATAAACAGGTCATGTCTAAGTGTGGTTATACAGAAAGGACTGCCTTTCTGCTATTAATACAGATACAAGAGTCTCTCTTCAATGTGCCCTTCAAAATCGTCACGTTGGGACACTATCGACTTATTCCAACACGACTTTCGAAGCCAAATAATATGTTTTAAATTACTTTAAGAGCAGCAAATTATCATTTGAAAGTAGATTTGATTTCTAAGACAAATTCTGAACACAGATAAAAACAAGTTATTTGCTCTGATCAGTTATGCAAAGAGCAAAGATTTTTAAAACCTACTGTTGACATGGGTTCAGAGAAATGGGTCTTTTTAGGGAGTTATTTAGTAATACTTATCAAAGTGTAAAACATGAGTAGCCTTTAGGCAAGCCCAGTTCTAGGATTTTCTCTTAGGAGATAACTGAAAATCTGAAAGCAACCTAAATATCCTCAACAGTGCATATGCCATGACACAAACACACAATGGACTACTACACAGTCATTAAAAATACAAGGCAGAGAATGCACAAAATGTGGTGCATACACACACACACACACACACACACACACACACACTGGAATGTTATTCAGCATTAAAAAGAAAAGGAAATTCTGACACATGTTACCACACAGATGAACCCTGAGGATATTACGCTAAATAAGATAAGCTCATCACAAAAGGACAGATAGTATGGGAACCACTTATATGAGGTACCCATCATAGTCAAAGTCAGAGAAGGAGGAAGGAGGGCAGTTGCCAGGGCTGGTAGGAGTGGGGAATGGGGAGTAAGTGTTTAATGGGTATGCTTCAGTTTGGGAAGATGGCAAAGCTCTGGAGACCAAGGGTAGGGATGGTTGTACAACAATATGAATGTACTCAATGCCACTGAACTGTACCTTTACAAATGGTTAAAATAGTAAATTTTATGTTGTATAAATTTTACCACAATTTTTTAGATTTCAGTTTAAAATTTTAAAAAATGTCTAGGAAATGCCATATTAAAAAAAAATTAAATACCTTTTCTTCTTGCTCTTTAATTATAGCACTTCTCAAAGTTTTTAAGAGACTAATATATATTGTGAATATCCAAGAGTGGAGAATCTAGTAAAACAAATCTAATATCGCAAATCCCGAACTTATTTGATCTCAAAACATTTTTTTTCCTCTAGGAACACTAAAATATATCAACGCATAACAGTGTTTCACAGAACATGGCTTAGAACTGCTGCTCTCCGTTTTTACAAATGCTGTTTCTTCAGGTCCTGAATGCCTTTCCTGGATGTCACTGACTCTTGACTCTCTGAGACAGTCCTTTTTATACACTTTAGCTAGCAGATAAACAATAATTTCAGGCTCCAGGAGGTCTGTTCCCCTAAGATGTCCTACTTTTCACAGGTTCTCCCATTTTTTTAAGTCCAGGTTCCTCAGAACATAAAGCTTTGTTTTACTAAAAAAGGGAGCACTGAGGACATCATGCAGATTAGGAGGATGGTAAGAGATGTCTCAAAATGACATGGCCATTTTTAATGTAGTGGGTGGGTCTCCTTTTATACTTCATTCACTCAACAAATATTTATAAGTTCCTACTATGTTCTAAGTGTGGTTCTAGGTGCAATTTGGATGCTATTACCACTTTATATAACCATTTTGTGTTCATTAACAATTGTATGGCCTGCCTACAGTAACTTGGCACATGTCCTAAAGAGGAAAGTACATTTTTATGGGTTTTATAGGTTTTAATGGGTATCAAGTCTTAATACAAGTATATTTTTAATAATAACTTTATACGCATATGCTTTTCAAATTTTATTTGCAATGGCTTATAGAAAAATATACGGTATAACACTATAAAAAAGTAGATGAGAAAAAGTGGCAAAGGGGAAGTAACTCAGGATGACTCCATAAGCCAGTGCATTCCATAAGATCTTATACATTTGCTACAGACGAACTGCAGAATCCCAGAAGCAAAAGCAATTATAATAGCTAACCTTAATTTATTAAAAGCTAGACTTATTCTTTCTTTTTCACATGGATCAATTCATATAATTCTCAAAACAACCCTATTAGAAAGTTACTATTTTTATCTCCATTTTATAGATGAAAAAACTGAGGTACAGAAAGGTTAAAAACCTGCCCAAAGCCAGACAGCTAATAAGAGAATCAAGAATCAAATCTAAGAGCTTGAGATCTTAATCACTATACAGCCTCTCTAAACAAAGAGGAACAAAGAATTATAATTGTCATAATCAACGTGATTTTTAAAAATCCTATTGTTGAGCTCTCCGGGTTCTGAGGCCTGAGAGAAATTTCTTCCATGGGTCTTTTGAAAAATGTAAGCCAGTAAGTGTGTTACACAGCAGACTAAACCCTTAGCCTCTCTCCTAATGCAACAGTGATTTGTACAATAGCAAGAAATAAGCAGCGCACGTTATGGCTGGTCAAAATATAAAAGTCACGTTTTAAACATGGAAGGAACTTTTGAGATCATCTACTTGTTGATCTGAAACCAAAGAGGAAGGGTATACTTTAAGTTCCCAGTTAAGTCTAATTATCTTTTTGAAAATCCCTAGAGATTCATGCAACTTCAGCTAAGAAATCCATACCTGAAATATTCTGTTATTTTTTAAAATAACCCACCATAAGCAAATGAACCCTCCCTATACCTCTTCAGTCCCTAAGGACCTGAGATAGGCAGCAACACGACTTAAAATGCTCAAGTTCTGCCAATTGTAAAAGGCAATTCCCCTTCCCGGACTTTCAAAACACTCCCTGCACTCACTTCTCTCTGCCAGATAGACTCCAAGAAGCCTCACCTGCAACCTGTGAAACTTGTCTGCAAAAGCAACAGCCTGAGGCTTCGCAAAGATCTGCAAACTCCCAATCAAAAATTACTGCTGCCCCATCAATGTGTCATATAAATGTTGGCATGTTAATTGTGTATTTATAAGATTGTTAATGGTTAGTTAATTTACCTCCCACACTATTATTGTACTTGAAATGATTTAACGTCTGCTGAGGGAGTTAACAACACGTAACAGCAGATGCCAGATTTTTTTTACCTTTCCACACTGTACCCCGACTTCATGCTATTAGCATTAGGCAAGTTAAACCTGATTCCTATACAGGATTCCTTAAGAGTGTTATAAAAGCACCTACATTTATTTAGTACAACAAGGAAAGATCATAAGTTAGAAAAACAAAAGTCTTTTTATTATAAACAACGTCTTCCATTTATAAAAACCAAGAGACCTTGTTTTTTATTAAAATTCCAACATTCTTTGATATAGTTAAAGTTGAGAATTCGTACCTCCTGGAATTCGAAAATAATTGAAGTGACCATTAAAATAAAATAAACTTTATTGCTTTTAAATCTTTTTCTAATTCTCTCCAATTTAAATCTAAATTAAATCTTCATTATTTTTTAGACCAGCAAAAAGTACGCTTCCTCCCTCCTCCTGCCTCAGGGAATTAAATCTTCTCCATGTGAATATGACAAATTTCATTAAATAGTAAATAGTGAGCGAGACTCTGTATCTGGAGTTTAATTTTTCCTTTCACATTTTTACTTCTGTATTTTGACTAAAAGTACTGAAATAACAGAAAAGAAATGCTTGTATCTTCTTTTGAATAATATAGGATTCATTCACTAAACATCGTTGAGAGCCAGGCCCTGGGAATCCCACAAAAAATTATATGAACATTGGCCTGTACTCTCCAGTGGCTGAACTTCCAATGCGCTATGTCCTGTACAGACAAAACAGTAACATAAGGCAATACATACTAACCACCAAATGAGAAGCTAAGACAGTATGTTTTTCAAGAGACAAGAAAATTACAGAAGCTTCAGGAAGGAAGAAGGTTGCTTCTTAAGGACAGCTAAGCTTTCATTAGGCAGAAACACAAGAACAGTAATAGATGACATTTACTGAGCTTTAATTATCAGCTATACTTTTCATGTAACAACATATTTCACCCTTACAACCAGCCCAGGAGGTAGATATTAATATTATCCCCATTTTACAGATTTTTAAAAAATTAAGTTATAAAGGAGTTAAGTAACTTGCTCAAGGTCATATGGTGGATTTTTTAAAGGCCAGCTTTGCAGCCCCTCCCAGCAAGAGGTGGAGTCTTCCTCCCCATTCCTTCAGTCTGGGTTCACACTGTGATTTGCTTTGAGTGACAGGATGTAGAGGAAGTAATATGGGACTTCTGAACCACAGCCTCAAGAGACCTTCAGCTTCTGCCGTCACCTTCTTTGGAATATATTTGAATTATGGGAAGAAGTTTAGAATAATAAAAGACTACCTAGAGAGACTCAGGTGTCATTCCAGCTATCCTGGTAAGGCCCCCTGATGAGTGACTAAGGACATCTGGAACCAGCCAGACTGCCACCAACCTACCCTTGATTGGTGGACTCTGACTCTTGATTTTTCTTGCCTTGTAGCACTAACCTCCACCTGAAACGTCTTTGAATCTTACCATCTGCCAAGATCCAGTGGAAGGGAGCCTGGTACAGTACAGTGCCTCTCAAACTTGTCCACAGACACACCTGAAGGGCAGAGGAGAGTGACCATAAATCAAGGCATGACAGAACCTAGGAGGAGTCACCTAAAACAACGTACTATAAGAAATTTCGTTTTAGAATTCATTCGTATTTTGCATGCTATCCTATAATATCTGTATTTGTCTTAATAGAAAAAAAATGTTCTACTTTGGAATATATCACTAAAATTGATACTCCAGGAAGATGTGCCATGCTTGCTTCGTGGCTTCTAGTACCCTCTGGCACATACTGGTTTTCTCATAACCTGAATTTGAACAGCAAGATCTAGTGGAAAAACATCAACTTTGGTGTCAGAAATATCTGATTTTGTGAAGATAAAATGGCACTTTATCAATGGACAACTCAAGATCTAATTTTTGCTCAATAGATGTTTCCTATGACAAGTATGAAGAACTGTAATTATTAACACCAAACTATATATAGTTATAAATACAAGTTAGACTAAAATCTCTATTATTATGCAGCTGTTACGAAACAATCAGTATTTTCAAAGTGTTTCTGAAATGATGTTTATTAGCTAGCAATAGCTGTTAAAATTCAGACAATCTAACCACCCCCCTCTTCCCCCCAAACTCCAAACCTGCCAACATTTCTGGCTGTTACAAGAAATCTGCTAGTTTGGTGCAATGTAGCCCTAAATTATTTTTCCAATGGGTGTTGCCTATCTGACACAATCGTTCTGATTGACACTTGTGATAACAAACAACTAATTTTAGGTTTTACTTTAAGGTTTAAGGTAAAAATGTTTATAGTTTTATCTAGAGTGAAGAAATTAATAATACCAAAGAAATCTGACTGTTTCTTAATGTGAAATTATCAGTACAGGGGCTGAAACCATAAAGAGCATTCAACCATCTATCAAATATACTCATTCACCGATTTCATTCATATGACATCTGTAAAGCACTTAATATGTACCAGGCACTGGAGATACAGTGTTGAGCAAAAAATTTAAAAAGACTTGGCCCCTGCCTTCATGGAGCTGAAAGTGCATATATGGTAGTCAGAATTCAAAGATGGCTCCAGAATTCAAATTCTGGTCTCTGGGTAGCCACGCCTTTGTGTCATATGCCCTTCCCTTGAGTGTGGGTGGAACCTGACTTGCTTATAGCCAACAGAAGTGATGGGAGAGTCACTCCCTCGATTACTTTCCATTATATGAGTTTTAATATAAGACTCTGTCCTAGGCGGCTGAAGAGACAGATTCTAAGTTAGAGAGATTTTCCAGCTGGCCTTGAAGAAGCAAACAGCAATATTACAGAACTATACATGGCAAGGACCCGAGAGCAGCTTCTAGGAGCTGAGAGTGATCCCAGCCAACAGAGAGCAAGAAAATGGAGACCTTAGTCATACAGCCCCAAGGAAATGAATTCTGACAACCTGAGGGCGCTTGCAAAGAGAGCTAAAGAGAGCTTTCCCTAGTCCAGCCTTCAGATGAGGATGGAGCCAGCTCACGCCTTCATCTCATCCTCTTGAGACTCTCAGCAGAAAACGCAGCTAAAGCCAGGACTTTTGACCCACTGAGAGATACCAAATCTGTCTTTGTTTTAAGCCACTAAGTTTGTGATATTTGGTATGCAGCAACTGAAATGAAAATATGCAATGCCAGAAAACAGCCTAAACTCCTTCACCTTCATAGACATTTAAGGCTCTTCACAACCCAGTTTCACTCACGTGCCTTCTCCCCAGCCTGCAACTCCCAGAACTACTCAGAACACGTTCCAGCCCTCAGCAACGATATTCCCTTTGTCTGAGATGTGTCCTTCTCCTCCAATACAAACCTTATTCTAAGTCGAACTCAAAATGTCATCCTCTGTGCACCTTTCTCCAGTTCCTAGGGTCCAAACTATTTTAGAGGCACTTTTATTTCTACCTTCAACACAGTTACATGAATATCATGTTTAAGGAATTGCCAATTTCAAATGTTTATCCAGTTCTAGATTCAGAAATGCGGTTACTCTATTAAAGTATAAATATTTCCCTTCCACAATCGTATGCAAAGTTGCTAAAGACAGGAACCCCTGGACGCCACCAACAGTAACGCAGTGACTCTAGTGTGCGGTTCTCAACTGGAAGGCGATTTTGCTTCCCAGGGCACATTTAACAATGTCTGGACACATTTCTAGTTGTCACACTGTGGGGGTGGGTGCTATTAGCATCCAGAGGGAAGACGCCAGAGATGCTGCTAAACATCCTACAATGCACAGGACAACACCCACAGCAAAGAATTATATAAGTAGCAACAATGCTGAGGTTGAGAAACCTTGTAGCAATGCGTTGTATGAAGCCATTAAATTTGTGGTAATATCTGACCTCCCCTCCCCTGGTTTCATTTATACTAGGACTAAATGATACAACTTTGCTACTAAAATCTATGTTCAGATCTTCTAAGGCACTAACAAATTTCAACTCCAAGTATCAGTTTACTAAAATTTTAACCTCCCCTAAGAAGAATCAAAGTTCCAATTACAATAAAGATAAGTTGTATCCCTTCAAAACTACCCCCAAGCCTATTCATCCTTCTTCCCCTGGCTACCTCCTACTTTCAAAATCCAGCTCAATGGTCATTTCTTAAAGGAAACCTCCCTAATGAAACCCAGAGACCAGGTTAGCTGCTCCCTTCTTCATTGTCCCGTTGCACTACACTCTGTCACTACTTCTACCAAATAATTAACCCAGCATGTTGCCTGTTAGCAGTAGGTGCTATGTGTTTGCTGAAGATATTTATTCAACCAATCTTTACTGAATGCTTACTGTGTGCCACACACTGTTCTAGATACAGAGATACAAAGCAGACTGAAAGTTCTGCCCCCATGGAGTTCACAAACTAATGCAGGAGACAAACAAAATAGAGAAGTAAATTATACAGCAAGTCAGAAGTGCTATGGGTAAAAACAGTGCAGGGAAGAGAGCTGGGGCATGCCCGGTGGGTGGACCATGGCTGCAGCTGTGAACAAAGTAGTCAAGAAACGCTTCTGGAGAAGGTGACAATTAACAGTTAAAGGAGGTGGACTTTTGAGGGAAGTGTGTTACCAAGCAGAGGGAGCATGCCTGGCACTGTTCAAGGAGAAGCAAGGAGTCCAGCAAGGGGGCAAGTAATAATGACGTGTGGAAGAGCAGGGCAAATCACGGAGAGCCTTGCAGGAGGCTCCAAGGATGCTGCTTTTACTCCAAGGACTGTAGTAAAGCAGTAATGATTTAACTCACATTTTAAAAGGATCTCTCTGGCTGCTATGCTAAGGACTGAGTAAATGAATGGATGAACTAATCACACTTTAAAAAAAATAATAATCTATTTATACATTGGTTTTTCTCTTCTAAACTGTAAGCACCTTAAGGACAGTGATTATCTTATTCATCACTGTGCTGCCAGTTTGAGTTTGTAGCAGAATGTGGCTGGCATCCAATAAGAACTCAGTGTGGAATGAATAAACAAATGAATCTTGCTCCCAAAGGGTTGCGCCATGATTTAAAAAAAATAAAAAGGCCCCTTTATCTATGGTGCTGGTTCAATACACAGTTCTCCCTCTACAGTCTAAGATTGATTTTCCTTTGATTGTCTCCTCGATGTCTGAGGTTTCTACAACAAGAAGAATGGAATTATGTTCCTACTTACCTGGCTCTCAGGTTAACCACATCATCAGTTAAAGGAAGCAACAAAGTTTACTGCAGCCACCACTCAGGAAACCTGAATTTCAATTCCCTAATTACCAGGGACCTAATTACGTGGTCTTAGACAAGTCACTTCTTTAAATGTGTTTTACACATCAGTCCGTTTCTGCATCTGTTAAATGAGGAGGATGAACTATAAGGGGGTCTTTTCAGCTCTCAAGTTCTATTCCAATCACATATGAGGAAGAGGATGTGACCAGTTTACCCTAGAGTCCAAATAAAAAGTTGTGTGTGTTTTGCGTCATATGCTTTTCCCTCAAAGGTCTGAAGAATTCCACTGCATGATGTCAGGTTACTTATTGTCTTTAGCTACTTTAGGAAGTAGCTATGAGATGCCTTCAAGAGAGTCAGGTGCCCCTGATTGTGTTTTCTCAGCAGTAAAATGTCTACATCCGTGTCTTAGACACTTCATAGAGATACTTAAAGAATACTTACAAAAAGTAAAAAAGTACTACACGAACCCAAGATGCAATATTATTGACTATTCTTGTTCTAGCTACATCATTTTGCAGGGAAAATAAATAAGTTGTCATTCAACTCCTCATGAACAGAGGATAGCGATGAGATCATCTAAACTAGCAGATAATCCCCAAACTATTTTTATGTGACTTTGAAAGGTGCTTCATACTTTCATTTGAATGGAGCTTTCATAATCTTGAGAAATGGTAACTGCTACTATTGTTATTAACAAAACTGCACTAACTTTGCCAGGTATTTTTTTTATAACCTTCTAGACTACCTTTCAAAAAAGAAACCATCAAACATGAGGACAGGGCAGCAAAACTGGCTTCATTCGGCCTATAATGTTATAAAGTTAGGGTGGGAATGTTCCACAAAATATAATTTAATTAGAATAATTGAATATCTGAATTCCAGGTTATTTATTTAGCAAGCACTTATGTCATTTATGAAACCATGAAGTAGATTCTATCATTATTCATGTTTTACAAATCAGTCAGCTGAGACAGACTTGCCCAAGGCCACTTCACTAGTAAGAGGTGGTGGAGCCAGGAGAAAACCTAGGCGGCCTGGCTCCAGAATCCCTGCTCCGAGCGATTACATTATGCTGCCTCAAATTTCCAGTTTGTCTATTTTATCACATTCTTCTTAATCCATTTCTCTCACTAGTCTAGATATTGGTATAAATAGACTTACCTAACTCATTCGAAGCATCAATACCTACTACATGCTGGGAGTTAGCAGTATAAAGAGTCACAGTCCCTATCCCAAGCTTACGGTCAAGCCAGGGGGAAAAGACGAGTATGTAAATGGTCACTATAAAGAATGAGAGCAGTGCTAGAGGATTCTAAAAG